TAAATCCTCACTCACTCTAGGCCCAGGTGAGCCTCCCCCACGGCCCAAAGGGGGCCCAGCAGGGAGGTGGCAGTTCAGTTTAATTGATGCAAGCAACTGGTAGGCAAGCAAGGATTTTTAAGATATAATCAGAAGAGTTTACTTTACCTTTTATGTCTTAGTAGCTTGGACATGCTGGTGAAAGACCAGCCACAGCCCTCAAAGTCACAGATAAAAGGCCTTTCCCCTTAAACACAGAAAAAATAAATTTAATTACATAATACAAAAAAATGCTTCTACTGAGAAGTTCCAACAAGGTTAAGCTACTTTAATAGTTAAATAATCTAATAATTTATAGATTACATTTTAAGCAACTTTATTTACCTAGAAGCCATTTTCTACAACTGGATCTGGACAGACAGACCTATAGGCCTGCAAAGCTCTCCTGATAAATTTAAAAGACTCGAGGTAGGAATTCTGCACAGACCCGGTTGCACAATGTGGCCCTATATTAGCAAACATTTCTACTATTTCTTCCTGCAATCCAATTCATTTTTCATTTAAATACCATTAGTCTTTCACTCATTTCAGATTGGACAACAAAACCTGTCCGCTTCAAAATCACTTTTCCACCTAAAAAAGCCTTAGATATCACTTTACATAACAATTACTAAAACAAAGATCAGCAAAAATGTGCATTTCTCTATTTGTGCAGTTTACATTGTGCATTTCCTGGCACTTGACTCTCTCTGAGAAATTTAGTTCTTCCCCACTTGGTTGATATCTTTAACGCAGTAAGAAGAGCAAATGAAAAACATTTTTTAAAACGAAAAGAAAAACACAATTCTTAGAAACCAAAAGAACTGGCAAGAGAATCGAGGAAAAGTTACAATGCACAAACCTAAGACTCTTCTAAAAAATCTGAAGTTAACATTGTTCCTTACACATCAATAACATTATTGTTTAGACAGTTTCATGCTCTCACTGTTCAAACTCTTCTTTGGAGACATTTCACATGTTTCTGTTGATATTTTTAAAAGCTATGCGTTATGTGCACATCAAATTTGTGACTAGAGCTGGGCAAAATGTAGTTTGTGCGCCAAAAAATTCAGTTAGGAGTTAATATAAAACTATATAATTGGCAACTGACAAGTTGTTTCATTCAAAGCAGCACAGAAAATGTTATGGCAGTTTCAACATCATTTCCTTTTTCCCAAGGACATTGTTTCTAAAATTTGCTTAATGTATTAAAAAGGATGAAATCCTCCACAAAATAAACCCTTATGTCAACTTTAATTAAAGTTCCTTCCCTCTCTATTTTTCAGTTTGAGTTGCAAATCAAAGTCCGTTTCTCCCAAAGCTCTATCTGGGACTGTATTTGTACCAGAAGGGATCTTTGTACATCTCTCCAACCAATAAAAGCTGCACTGTGGATACCTGTGTGACTTCTCATGTGGATTTTCAGTCGGCAGGCTTTGTCATACTGCTTGTTACAGCCAGGGAAAGAACAGGAGAACTGCTCTTGCTCTCTGAAGTGGGCTCGATTATGAGAAAATAATGCACTCACTGTGATAAAAGTCCTCTCGCAACCTAAAGAAAGAAGGGAACACTGTGTTCATTTGGCATGAAAAACAAAACAATCAAGTTAAACTCTTTACCATACTTCTCTTATGGGCTGTGTAGGTAAAATGACTTCCTTAGCCGTGTTCTTTGTGGTGCTGGTGAAGGTAAGAAGGCCTTGTTCTTATTCAAAAACAACGGCAAATATACATATATTTTTAAACCCACATAAAACCACTCTAGTTCTCATAGCTTGATGTGTTGTGGCCCACCTTTGCAGCCTGGAAAAATCCACGGCATGGCTTGATTAGGAGTGGGAAGGTGGGACTGGGGCAACTTAAGGTTCAATGCTCACAAGGGGGACTATATATGAACATAGAGGTGCTCCTGCTGGGCCTAAGCCAGAAGTTCCCGGCTAGAGTCTTGCCCTGCGGCTCAGGGTCAGACCTATCACCTTATTTGGGCTCAGGAAGGAATTTTACCCCATGGTTAGACTAGTACAGACTTTGGAAGTTGTTGCCTTCCTCTGTAACAGGAGTCACGTCCCTCTACCTGGGACCTCTTGAGCATATATTAACAACATTTCATAGATGCAGGATTTTGGCTGCCCTGGTTCCCTTGCTTCACCTGTGGCAGGTTAGGGTGTCAGGTCTGTGTTGTGTCAAGGTTGACAGTAATTTTATGTAGTTTAGATTATGGTGTGGGATGGTTTGGACCGGGCTGATCCTGCCTCAGGCAGGGGTCAGACTAGATGGCCTCTGGAGGTCCTTTCCAGCTCTACAACTGACTCCTTGCTGTTATTACCCTCCCACCCTCAGCTTTTCCCAGTTAAGCTCACAGATTCCCAGGACAAGCTATGGTGTGGTCCTGCCTTCTGAAGCCTCCTCAAACAGATCGTTTGCATAACTTTAGGCTTAACGGGATCAACTGCCTATGTTTGTGAAAACAGACATTTCCACAAACATAGGCAGTTTGACATTGACACTTTGTCAATAAACTAGACTGCACTGAGGAAAAACCTGACAATCATTGATTTCCCTTCCTAATGGAAACATCCTGTAAGGTCCCTTGAAGCCCTACTTCTCTGAGTATTAAAAAACAGGCAGGCAAAACTTGTAACATCATCAGCTACTAAGTGTACAACAGAGAATGCCTCAGCCAAAGACCATGAAGACATCACGCTAAGAACTAAAATGGCTCTCTCTGGGCTTTTTTTTTTTTTAAAGAAAGTTTTTATTCATGAGGGTGTTTCAGAAACAAACAGCCCAATGGCTGCCCATGCTGTACATCTGCAACCAAATGGGAAACTCTACAGCAGTGGCAAACACCAATGGAGGTATTGTAAAATGCACCCATAATTTACAACAATGCAGTGATGTGATGTGGCCCATTGAATGATCACTGCACTCAAAATTGTTTTATTTCAAAATGACGTTTCTGAAACACCCTTGTATAGCAACTGAACCATGCACTAGTAAGGCCTTCTTCCTTTCACCAGCGCTTTCTAGGAACACAGTCCTACCACACCACCCACCTCACATAAAAATAAAATTCCAGTCAAGTAGCTACTGACAGAAAAAAAAATCCAACCTGGGTTCATGAAACAGTTGAAAATACCCACTAGCCTTATGGATATTCTCATCCTGGCAGTAGTCAATTAACATCAAACTCAGTTACCACTGCATTTTAGCCTGAAATCCCACCAAATCTGAACAGAGTTCTCTGCCAGTGGGATGAAAACCTGATGTCAAGGGTCCCAAGGTACAGAGAGGTGCTTTCTGGTCCAACTGGCTTCGCAGCAGAGCACGTTTTCTCTCTGCGCGCACACAGCCTGGACATGGCACGTGACAGTAACACAGGCTCCACTGAGGGCAAAAAAATCTCTCAGGTGCCAGGAGCCCCAATGCCTATAAGCCAGAACTGACTGGGCAGATGCATCCACTGGGCACTGGTGGGGGTGGGGGAGGAGACACAAAATGAAGTATGGCCCATGATGCCTGCCCTGTGTATGTGCAACAAGCAAACCCCAGTCCCCTCACAGCATCAAACCTGACAGGCTCTTTTAAGGAGCACCAAACAGGAAGGAGGGATGCAGTACAGGTGGGCAGCTCTGGGGAGCAACCTAAGGGTTTTGCAGGGTCCTAATTTAGGACATTACAGGTGGGCAGCTCTTGGGAGAGACCTCAAATGGGGAGTGGGAAGGCTCAAGGCTCCTAAGTGGAGGCATTACAGGTGGGCAGCTCTGGGGACAAACTCAAGGACTGAGGGGAGTGGGACAGCTCCCAAACTGGGGACATTACAGGTAGGCAGCTCTGGGGAGAGAACTAGAGCGGGGTGGGGGGAGGAAATGGCTCCTTATTTGGGGCATTACAGGTGGGCAACACCCCCCCTTCCATTAGGTCTCTCCCCAGAGCTGCCCACCCGTAAGACCCAGAATTAGGAACCTCATAACCCCTTTAGGCTCAGGGGAGAAGCCTAAGGGGGGGTGGGGGTCCTAAACAGGGGCCTTACAGATAGGCAACACCTCCCTTAAGTCTCTCCCCAAATTTGGGGCCTGTAATGCCTACGGTTGCCAGCTGTTTGAATCTATACCAGGAGGTTTCCTTACATGATGCAATTATACTACTGAGTCATTACATCAGGAACGCAAATGCACACGACTCTTACGTTTTAAGAATCCACTGGTCTACTGTATAAATCGGATTTGACATTTCATATTTATTTTAATGAAAGCCCTATCACTTCTCTCCTGGATGCCTCTCAGCAGTCTCCTGGACATTTATATCTAATTCCTTTAGACTCTAAGGCATTCTTGGAGGGTTGGCAACCCTAGTAATGCCCCAAATTAGGGGCCTGGTAACAGCTTGTTGGGAACTCTGCAAGCCACCGAAGCGTGGAGGGAAGGCCCCTCACTGGGGGTGTTACAGAGGGGCAGTGACTGAAGAGTGGGGGGGAGAGGGAAGGCTGCAGGCGGGCAGCTCTGAAGAGAGCCCTAAGAGAAGGGGGGGAAATCTCCTAAATTGGGGGAGGCCTAAAGGGAGGGGGTCCTAGACGGGAGCAGAGACCCAGAATTAGGGACCTCCTAAACCCTTGCCAGGAGCTCTGGGGAGAGGCCTAACGGGGTGGAGGAGGTGGTGGTGAGGCTGGGCCGTTGCCGCGGGAGGGTGGGCGCTCACCGGGGTAGTCGCAGCGGTAGGGCCGCTCGGGCTCGAGGTGGGCGCGGCGGCGGTGGGCGGCGAGGCGCGCAGCGCCGGGGAAG